TACCGTACCGTACCGTACCGTACCGTACCGTACCGTACCGTACCATACCATACCATACCATACCATACCATACCATACAAAAAATTACCATACCATACCATACCATACCGTACCGTACTGTACCGTACCGTACCGTACCGTACCATTCCACACCACACCACACCGTACCGTACCGTACCGTACCGTAACGTAACGTAACGTACCATACCATACCATATCATACCATACCATAAAATACCATACCATACCACACCATACCACACCATATCATACCATACCATACCATATCATACCATACCATATCATACCATACCATACCATACCATACCATATCATACCATACCATACCATACCATACCATATCATACCATACCATACCATACCATACCATACCATACCATACCATACCATACCATATCATACCATACCATGCCATACCATACCATACCATACCATACCATACCATACCATACCATACCATACCATACCATATCATATCATTCAATAAAACACTATGCTATTCCACACTCATAACTATACACGATCTTCTTTTGTCTCCTCAGGGAATCAAAAACTCTGCTGGAAAAGATTCAAACCCATTTCTTAAAGTTCTCGGAGGCGGGCGGAACTCTGAGCAAACAGACCTTCCTGCAAGCCCTAGGTGACAGAAAGGTGGGTGGGGACTCTCGTGGCCTAGAGGTTAAGGTGCTTGCCTCTCATTCAAAGGTCCCGGGTTCGAATCCGGGTAGCGACGAAAAATTTTCTTCTCTAAAATTGTCTCCTTTCACCCCCTTTCCTACTCTCTAACAATTTTCTGTATTCTGCTTTCGTCACCACTTTCTGCCCCCCAACCCCCTCACCTCCTTTGCCCCCTCCTCTGGGCTCCTGACTCTTTCTGCAGCCTTTCTACTGTTTCTCCTTGGCTCTTTCTTACTGCTGTCTTTCAGCTACACCCCTGGTCTTCTGATAGGAAAGATCTACACCTAGCCTTCTCGGACAAGAGTGAAAAATCTCGGAGGTCCCAGTGTGCTAGTTGCGCACATTAAAGATCCCTTGGTGGTCTAAAATCGATAAGAGTAGGCTTGGGGCACCACCCGGGCAATATTCAAAATTCCTACCGACTGAAAATGTTTATTCTACCCCACGCGCTCATATGACCTATGCAGTTGTGATCGCCGTAAAATACTTATAAAAACAGACAAACAAAGACATTGTGGGTGGGTGGAACAGAGGAAGGGAAAAGCCAAACAAATCCCATAAAATTATGATATACGTTTAAGGCTCGTGTCAACACTATTTAGGACCTCCGTGTTTATCGTCCATTTCCACACAAAAATTTGAGTTACTCGATTTAAAAAAACCCACTCACATGGCATTCAAACTTACGTGTTTTGCGTGCGATGATGACGCACCTTACCCAACACTACAAATAATGTAGTGAACTGTTGTGAATGCAACCAACTTGTGTATCACGCGCTCATGTTAATTGCTTTAATTGTTAAGCGTGCTGACAAAATGAGTTACTTCTCGTATTCGAGCTCTATGTAAATAGATACATAACGATTATAAGTGAAGCTTTCACAATTGATAAGTAGGAAATAATAAAACACATAACATAAATATTGTCCAAGAATATGGCGTCAACAGAACTTCTACAAATGTGACCCTTGTGTCGAGTTTTGGCCAATATCTCTATTTGTGGATTGCGAGAAGTAATTCACTTTGTCAGCCCACCTCGCAATTAAAATAAGAAAATAAAAAATAAATTACTTTTATTTGTCCCAGAAGGGCACTTTGTTTTACAATGGCAAACATACATACATAAATACTTAATTATTAATACGTTCGTACATAAATACATACATTCATAAATACATACCTAAATACACAATATTGGACAAATACAGAACAGTTTACAACCATGCCACTGTCGGTCGCCACTGTGCAACGCCCTGTATTTTGAGCTAGGGTTGTCGTGTCTTGCTCAAGGACACACCCCAGTGACCACCCATCTGATCCCCGTGTCACCGACACTTGCTTGATATTGCTTGAGTCTAAACTCACTACTCACTTAGTTGGTGAATAAGCATCATCGCAGGCGGCACAATGCCATAGCTGCTCCTCCCTCCTCTCCAGGGTCCACGAAAGGGTCTGCTTGCTGATTGAGGCATTTATCAGCTGGTTGGATATTCTTCTGGCTTTTCCACATTCTCGATGACAGCAGCTAGACAGTCAGTCCGATGTCGCGCACAAACTGTGCAGTTCGTTGCAACTCTGAGAGACTGCCATAGAGCTTTCTCTCAAGGGGAGCCACATTCTGCCACGTCTGTGTACGAAGGGTGGCGTAGCGGGGGCAGGTGTATTCTTCGGGCTTTTCCACACAGGTTGCTGTCTCTCCCCGACCCTCTAGAGACACTAGCTTCCTTCAGTCTTTCAGTTGTGTATGATAGGGTGCCTTCATCTTCTCTGTGGCCGTTGAACCATGTCTGTCAATGCTACCATGACTGTTAAAATGCAGTTACTAACTCCGTAAAACTCTTACTAAACTGAAACTAAGACCACGAGAGCCCCCGTTTCTGTGTTCCCCAGGACTCGTTCTTCGCTGACCGCTTCTTCCAGTACATTGACCGGAACCAGGACGGGGTAGTGGACATGAGGGAACTGACCCAGGGTGCGGCTGTGTTGCTGGGAGGGTCAGACATGGACAAGATAGGATTCCTTCTCTCTCTCTATGACATGGACGGTGAGGGATTGATGGATGCGATGACTGTTGTCAGTGATTGTTGGTGATTGTTGGTGTGTGATTGTTGGTGATTGTCAGTGAGTGTTGGTGATTGTTGGTGATTGTTAGTGGCTGTTGGTGATTGCTGATTGTGATTGTAATGGTGATTGCTGGTGATTGTTAGTGACTGTTGGTGATTGCTGATGGTTACGTATTAGGGACTTTTGTCATTGTTAGTGAGTGTTGGTGATTGTTGGTGATTGTTGGTGATTGTAATGGTGATTGTTGGTGATTGTTAGTGATTGTTAGTGATTGTTAGGGATTGTTGGTGACTGTTAGTGGTTGTTAGTGATTGTTAGTGATTGTTGGTTATTGTTGGTGATTGTTGGCGATTGTTAGTGATTGTTGGTGATTGTTGGTGATTGTTAGTGATTATTGATGATCGTTTGTGATTGTTTGTGATTATTTGCGATTATCAGTAATTGTTGGTGATTGTTAGTGATTTTCAGTGATTGTCAGTGATTGCCAGTGGTTGTGACAGACTGGTAGTTTCAAGAAAAAAAAAGAATAATTAATAGCTGGACTGGGGCAGGATTTGATTATGCAACGAGTGTATGTGATTTGTAAAGGCCATAACTCCACATAAAACTATCTATGGCTCGACGCGGTGGAATCAGACTCTCGTTAATTTTTGGGCATACAGAGTTGATGGCATCATCTTAAGGCATGTCCATTTTCCTTGCTTTGGGTGAGAACAGTATCCATCTATGTTGAATAGAAGTCAAGATTTGTGTGATTGAAGGAGTTGGTTTCAGAGGTCAAATTAGAGTGAAAATGGCCGCCAAATTTGAGTTGTATATGTCTTTAGCTTGAGAGTCCGTGGAAACTGAAATTTACATTTCTTCTGCCTTGAATCAACATTTTTCTGAAATGTGCTCTTCAACGGGCATGAAAAGTGTTGAAACAAACAAAAATTCGATAAAAATTGCCAAGCCTGTAGGAAAATGCCAATTTATTGACTTTCATTATTTTGACGAGCGCCTGGTTTCACCACACTGCCTCCCATCTCTATCTAGTCATTTCATTTAAAGCTTATTTTGTGTAGTCACCCCTGGTGTGTGACGTCAAACTCATAACTATTTGTAGCAAAATAAGACTTGGTTGGTCTTCTTGCTTTTGTTTATTGTTTAATTCTTTTTTTTTTTTACTGCAGAAGGGGTTCTTTTAATCCACGAGAGCCCCCGCCACAATTGGTCGCTTTTCAGGACAAGTGGGCTAACCCAGATTTCGGGGGTTTCCAGAAATTTTGACCTACACCAAAAGTGGGCTTTACCCTACCTATAGGAGAAGTTTGATTTCAGTGGTGTGTATATTTGTTGGTTATAGAGAAAACTCTCCTTGTCTTTTAAAGAAACTGAACAAGGGTTCAAAACGTTACCTTTGATTTTCTCAAAACAGCGTTTTTCGGGATAGCTCCCCCTTGTGCTTAAAAGCGACCAATTTTGTTTTGTTTTCCTCCTTGTTACAGGCAGTGGGGAGATCTCCAGAGAGGAGCTACGCAGAGTTCTGACGGCCTGTGTGTTAGAGTCCAACATGCACTTTAGTGACACGGTCAGTACACACGGTAGATATACTTAGGGGATTGTGATATTTGGCTTGAATAACAAAAACCAATATGTTAATCTATCAATCAGTCAGCGAATCTATCTATCTATCGATCTATCTATCTATCTATCTATCTATCTATCTATCTATCTATCTATCTATCTATCTATTTATCTATCTATCTATCTATCTATCTATACATTTAGCTATCTACCGATCAATCAATTAATCAATCTATCCATGTATCTGTCTGTCTATCTATCTATCTGTCTTCTATCTACCTATCTATCTATTTATCTATCTATTCATCTATTTATCTACTGATCTATCCATCTATTTATCTCCGATCGATCGATCGATCGGTCTATCTATCTATCTATTTATCTATCTATCTATCTATCTATCTATCTATCTATCTATCTATCTATCTATCTATTTATCTATCTATCTATCTGTCTGTCTGTCTGTCTGTCTGTCTGTCTGTCTGTCTGTCTGTCTGTCTGTCTGTCTATCTATCTATCTATCTATCTATTTAACTACCAACCAGTAGGCCTCTGGAACGACCAACCGATTAATCTATCTGTCAATCTATCTTCCAGTCAACCAACCAATCTATCAATCTATTTATCTACCAACTATCCAACCAACCAACCAACCAACCAACCAACCAACCAACCAACCAATCCCTGCTATGTTTCTGCTATCTCTAGCACCTAGACTACCTGACCAACGCGCTGTTTGATGAGGCGGACATCTATCTATCTATCTATCTATCTATCTATCTATCTATCTATCTATCTATCTATCTATCTATCTATCTATCTATCTATCTATCTACCAACTATCCAACCAACCAACCAACCAACCAACCAACCCACCAATTCCTGCTATGTTTCTGCTATCTCTAGCACCTAGACTACCTGACCAACGCGCTGTTTGATGAGGCAGACACGGACGGAGACGGGCAGATCTCACAGTCAGAGTTACGGGACTTGTTCCAGCGGTACCCGGATGTTCTCGAGAATCTGTGTCAGAGGTCAGTGTGTGTGTGTGTGTGAGAGAGAGAGAGAGAGAGAGAGAGAGGGGGGGGGAGAGAGAGGGAGAGAGAGAGAGAGGAGGGAGAGAGAGGGAATAAAAGAGAGAGAGAGAGAGAATAAAAGAGAGAGGGGGGGGAGTGGGAGGAGAGACAGAGAGAGAGAGACAGAGACAGAGAGGGAGAGACAGACAGACAGAGACAAGGAGAGAGAGAGACAGAGACAGAGACAGAGACAGAGACAGAGAGACAGAGAGAGAGCGACAGAGACAGAGACAGAGAGAGAGAGAGAGAGAGAGAGAGAGAGAGGGGGGGGAGGGGGAGAGTGGGAGGAGAGGGAGAGAGAGAAGAAGGTAGGGTTGGTGAGGGGAGACGGACAGATCTCACAGTCAGAGTTACGGGACTTGTTCCAGCCGTACCCGGATGTTCTGAAGAATCTGTGTCAGAGGTCAGTGTGTGTGTGTGTGTGTGTGTGTATTTGTGTGTGTGTGTGTGTATTTGTGTGAGTATGTGTGTATTTGTGTGTGTGTGTGTGTGTGTGTGAGTGTGTGTGTGTGTGTGTGTGTGTGTGTGTGTGTGTGTGTGTGTGTGTGTGTGTGCACGTGATTGCGTATGTGTATACATCTACAGTAATCATGTTCTCATTTATATACATTAAAATTTTCTGTCCGATCTGATCATGCAGAACAGGTTTGTCAAACATATTATTATGTGGCCTGGCGTTGTGCAATCAGGCACAAATCAATTTTTGAGCATTTTATACGGTTATTGGTATCATCATAAAGCCAGTTTATTTGCCTTGCTTTTGATGAAAAGATATCAATCTATCTTGAATAGAAGTCGAGATATTCGCGATTGAAGGAGGTGATGGTCGGTTGCTTTCAGAAGTAAAATTATAGAGAAAATGGCAGTCAAAGTTTGGTAATTTCCATAGCTTGAGATCTTTGGAAATGAAATTTTTCAGTTTTTATACTTTTAATCAATGTCTTTTAGTAGAAGCCACACGGAAGTGTGGTTTTAAACGGACATGAAAGGTGTTGAGCCAAAAAAAGAAAATTAGGAGAAAAAATTTGCCCAAAAGCCAGAAAAAATGCCAGTTTCTTTGATCTCATTATTTTGACGAGCGCCTGATTTCACTACGATGCCTCACAAATGTGAACCTCGCTTCCTTGTTGAATAAGATAAGATAAGATAGTACTTTATTATCCCAGAGGGAAATTTTCCTTGTCTGTACAGGACCGTAAAAACACATGCAGGTATACAT